GACTAAAAAGGGGCCGGATTTGTGAACAGTAAGGACCAAAAAGGGGATTTTTTCGGTACAGGGACTAAAAAAGGGCTTTTTCCTATAGTAGAGGGACCAAAAAGGGTATTTAACCATTTTGAAAAGGCTTACGACAAGGTCAGTTGGAGCTTTCTTAACTATATGATGCTGAGGATGGGGTTTTGCACCACTTGGAGGAATTGGATCAGGGAGTGTCTTGAAACGAGCTCAGTGTCAGTTCTAGTAAATGGGAGTTCGACAAGGCAATTTTCAGTGTCTAGGGGACTAAGGCAAGGGGATCCCTTATCCCCCTTTTTGTTTTTAATTGCGGCAGAAGAGCTGAACGGACTGGTTAGCACGGCTGCTCAGAAGGGTTTAATACAAAGAGTGGAGGTGGGCCTTCGAAACCTCAAAATCTCACACCTCCAATATGCTGATGACACGATATTATTCGGTGCAGCCACAGAGGAAAATGTGTGGGCAATGAAAGGTATATTGAGAGCTTTCGAGGTATGCTCTGGTCTAAAAATCAATTTCCATAAGAGTCAATTGTTAGGTATTTGTGTGGGGGAAGATTGGCTGGATAAAATGGCGTGGATTCTGTGCTGCAAAAAAGGTTCCTTCCCATTCAAGTACCTGGGAATTCCCATAGGAGGAAATTGCAGAAGACTTGGGTTCTGGAAACCTTTGGTAGATTTGTTCTCCAAGAAATTAACCACATGGAAGGTTAGCTACTTGTCTCTTGGGGGCCGACTCACTCTTATCAACTCAGTGCTGTCCAGCCTCCCGGTCTTTTGGATGTCGATGTATGTGATGCCAAAAGGTACGATCCGTTCTCTTGACAAAATCCGTAGGAATTTTCTGTGGGGCGGGTTTAAAGGGGGGAATAGGATAAATTGGGTGAAATGGGATAAGGTCTGCAAGGATAAAGACAAAGGAGGACTAGGAGTAAAAGATCTGGGGAAACTTAATTATGCTTTAGTAGGTAAATGGTGGGGGAGGATAGTGTCGAAGGAGAGAGGTCTGTGGAAGAAGGTCATATGTGAAAAGTATGGCATAGAAGGGGAACATAGGTGTAATTGGCTGAGGGGGGGTTTTAATTTCGGCTCCTTGTGGTGGAGAGACACATGCAGGCTAGATACTTCAGCAATGGAGAAACAGGGATGGCTAGCCAATGGGTTTAAAATAAAAGTGGGGGGAGGAGAGACAGTCAAATTCTGGTGGGACTTATGGAATGGGGGGGAGAGCATTGCTAACAAATTTCCGAGACTATATGCTCTGTCAACAGGTAAAGATAACAAAATATCCCAGATGGGGGAGTGGGTGAATGGAGCATGGAAGTGGAAATTACAATGGAGGAGGAGCTTGTTTAGTTGGGAGAAACAGCAAGAAGAAGATATGCAGAGGGAGCTTCAAAGAACCCCAATGGTGAGAGGTGAGCTGGACCGGTGCTTGTGGGTACACTCAAAGGATGGCTGCTATTCCACGAGAACAGCCTATCAAGTATTAACAGAAGCACAAAGTTCGGCCCATCACAGAGCAGACTTAAGCAAAGTCTGGAACGTTTTCATCCCCAACAAAATAGCAGCCTTCTCTTGGCAATTAGTGCAGGACAGAGCTCCAACGAAACTTAACCTTTTGAAAATAGGGATTTTCCAAAACATTTCAGAGTGCATGTGCGATCTATGTGGCAGGGAGTATGAAGAATCCAACCATTTATTTATTCATTGCATAGTAGCATATAGACTTTGGACAGCATGCTTCAGGTGGTGGGGATTATCTACTGCACTAGATAAGGATTGCTGCAGGGTATTTGAACAGCACCCTCATTTGGTAAATAAGCCAGGGGTGAAGAAGGGATGGGATTGTATCTGGTTCACTTTGGTTTGGACAATTTGGTTAGCACGGAATGAGAGAACATTTAGAGGGAAGGAGGCAGACATAGAAAGACTTTTCGAGCTCATACAACTTCGCTCTTATCACTGGATAAAGAACAAGAGCAACAGGTGCTACTTCTTGTTTCCCGATTGGATACAAAATCCATCAGAATGCTTGAGGATCAGCAGTGGCAGCAGGAAGGAGGGGGGTAGACTGCTGAATACTAGGTAGAAATTCTTAATACCTGCAGAAAGTGTTGCATCTATGGGCTGAATGTATTCTGTAGGGTATATGCTTAGTATAATCTCGATATTGTTGTTATGGGTTTGAGTACCCCTTGTACTCACAGCAATATATATCTTTTGACTTTTCAAAAAAAAAACAAGAAAGACTTGCTCCCAATTCCTTCCCTACCACCTTACCCAACCCATACAAGAAACATTCTGCTACCCCCTCCAATATAGATAGCAACACAACCTCAATACCCCACCAAGACAATACCTCCAATATAGAGCACTACTAACATTAATTTGATGACTTTTAATTTTCTTGACCTTTAAATGTTATAATAGGAGTTATATATTTCAAATCTCTTTATGCTTTTTTTTTTTTTGGTGACTATATATATCTATCTTTTTTCTTT